CCGGTAACTGCTGCCCAACTGCCTGCAATGCTGCACGGATCCCGGAGGACAAGAAGCATGGCCAGTGACCCCTGGGCCTTTATTTCTCTCTTTTTTAAAATTCAGAAGCCGTTTTTTAGCATATTGGGGGGGAGGGGGTCCCTGAGTATGCAGACACCCCTCCCTTGTCTGTGGACGGTCCTGATTCACTGTCCTGTGGATAAAAAGGACCGTCAACTTTGCTATTAGAAGAAACAATGATGGGCTAAGTCCAGGTCCCCAGAGACATTCTCCTCAGCCTTCGTTGGGGCAGCCTTGTTTCCTTACCCCAGCCTAGTACCTTTACATATTTGTTTTTGTTAAGTTCACGCAAGGAGAATTGCTAAGGCAGGACAGGGCAGTGCGACTGAAGGCATCCCGTCTTGCAGAGGAGACCAGGAAGCTGACGGGAGGGGTGTGGTCTTCTGACAGGAGGGGAGGAGCCCATAAAAGAAGGGGGAGGGAGAGAGGGGGGAGAGGGGAGGAGCAGAAAAGTCTAGCAGGGAAATGAGGCTGCGCAGCAGAGAAAGCCCAGCTGCAGGCCAAAGCTGGAACGAGCCACTTCCCAGGATTTCTGGGAAGGGAAGGCGCTCTCCGAGGGAAAGATTTCTGGCCGTGGGGTTGTCAGTTTGGAACTTACTCCTTGCCCAAAGTGGGAAAGTGATAAGAACATAAGAGAAGCCAATGTTGGATCAGGCCAATGGCCCATCCAGTCCACCACTCCGTCACACGGTGGCCAGAAATACTAGGTGCCATCAGGAGGTCCAGCAGTGGGGCCAGGACACTAGAAGCCCTCCCACTGTTGCCTCCCCCCCAAGCACCAAGAATACAGAGCATCCCTTGCCCCAGTCCGAGAGTTCCTATAAGAACAGAAGATGTTGGATCAGGCCAGTGGCCCATCCAGTCCAACACTCTGTGTCACACAGTGGCCAGAAATACCAGGGGCCATCAGGAGGTCCAGCAGTGGGGCCAGGACACTAGGAGCCCCTGCCACTGTTGCCCCCCCCCCCTCCAACCACCAAGAATACAGAGTATTCTTAGTGGGTGAGACCCAAAAATGTCCCCTGAAAAGGAGGGATCATTGGTATCTTCCTTCTTGCCAGGCGTCTGGCTTGGACAGGGCCTAGGAAGTCCTCTGAGGCAAAATTCCGTTTATTTAGTCCTGCCCGTTAACCACACACCCTGACCTGGATAACCCAGACTAGCCAGAGCATGTCAGATCTCGGAAGCTAAGCAGGGTCAGCCTCGGTCAGTACTTGGATGGGAGACCACCAAGGAAGCCCAGGGTTGCTATACAGAGGCAGGCAAGGGCAAAACCACGAAATACATTAAAACCACTAGAAACACAACGTCATATGGAACAGGCTAAACTGATGCACGGTTTGTGTTGGAGCAGCGAAGGGGAAAAGGGGGCAGAGCTCAGGCAAACACACACCACAGAGGACTAATTCAGCCCTTACATAGGCCAGCGGGGCAGCCCCACTGAAGCGCGGCACTTTACGCCCCTTGTTTTCGACCCGTGGAAACAAACCCACGGGCCCACCGTTCCACAGATTGGCTCCTTGTACTTCCAGCGCCTTCAGTGCCAGGATCTCCACAGCTGACACACAAAGGGGAAAGGGGACTTCTTACCTTCATCCTGGGGGCTTTCTTCTTCCTTCGATGAAAACTCCACTGCTGCAGTCGGGTGCATGGATATCTGAAAAGGAAAACGCCCTGTTCAGTGAAGCAGCCGATTTCTCGGCATAAATCTAAATTAAGTTTAAAAAAAATAACACCAGGACAAAATAAATTGCTTCCGTATTGAAAGAAAATCAAAACTACGGCCATGTTTCAGAGACCTACTTTAAAAGTGCCCAGTACAAAAATTACATATATTTCCCCCCCCTGCAAGGTGAATATAGGATGGTTTCAGTTCAGATGAAGATTCCATGTAGCCTTTGGCCCATTTAATCCACTTCCAATACAGAACTACTGTGTCAGGTATTTGTTGTTGTTGTTCAGTCGCAGTCGAGTCCGACTCTTCATGACCCCATGGACCAGATCCCGCCAGGCCCTCCTGTCTTCCACCGTCCTCTGAAGTTTGCTCAATTTCATGTTCGTTGCATCGATGACACTGTCCGACCATCTCATCCTTTGCCGTC